CAAAGGTATGCGCACTCTCACTCGACTCAGGTGACAAATTTAGAGAAGAACGAAGCCTCGATGGATCCTTGAGATTGCCACACAACACGGGCGGAGGCAGACAAGCACATGCATCCAGAGCGGGCAGATAAACCACGGAAGAAAAAATGTCCCTCTAAGGATTCCGATATGAATGATTAATTAAAGAAAAATTAAATAAAAATAAAAAATGTGGTTTTGTTTTTTTTTTAAAAAAACCCTTATTCTATTTTTTTTTTTAACTCTCAAAGTTGTAATTTGCATGTACCGTTTTATATTTTGATATTTTATTGTAGACAGACCAGACTCTCTTTCAAGGAGATAAATGGTTCGGAAATATGTGTGTGTGTGTGTGTGTATAGACGATAAATGAAAGAGGAGAGATGAGATGAGATGAGATGAGATGAGATGAGATAGATAGATAGATAGATAGATAGATAGATAGATAGACAGACAGACAGTATGAGATGAGATGAGATGAGATAGATAGATAGATAGATAGATAGATAGATAGATAGATAGATAGATAGATAGATAGATAGATAGATAGATAGATGTTTTATATTTTGATATTTTATTATAGACAAACCAGAGCCTCTTTCAAGGAGATAAATGGTTCAGAAATATGTGTGTGTATATAGATGATAAATGAAACAGCAGAGATGAGATAGATAGATGGATAGATAGATAGATAGATAGATAGACAGACAGTATGATAGATAGGTGATAGATAGGTGATAGAGGGAGGGAGGGAGGGAGGGAGGGAGGGAGGGAGGGAGGGAGGTAGATAGATAGATAGATAGATAGATAGATAGATAGATAGATAGATAGATAGATAGATAGATGTTTTATATTTTGATATTTTATTGTAGACAAACCAGTCCCTCTTTCAAGGAGATAAATGGTTCAGAAATATGTGTGTGTATATATAGATGATAAATGAAAGAGGAGAGATGAGATAGATAGATAGATAGATAGATAGATAGATAGATAGATAGATAGACAGACAGACAGACAGACAGACAGACAGACAAACGACATTTGGGGACGGAAATGAGTGGGAGATCAGGCGGCATTCAAGGTGGGCTGGACGTAGATCTCTTACGAGCACGCAGGGATTCGTGATTTATGACATATTTGACTCCTCCCTTGGACTCAGCCTTTTTCTTCCAATGTGGTGAAGAGCCAAGGTGGCGCAACAGTTAGAGTGCAGTACTGCAGGCCACTTTAGCTGACTGTGTTCAGCAGGTCAGCGGTTCAAATCTCACCGGCTCAAGGTTGACTCAGCCTTCCATCCTTCCGAGGTAGGTAAAATGAGGACCCAGATTGTTGGGGGCAATGTAAATATATATATACATTGCTTACTGGTGTACACCGCTTAGAGAGTGCTTGCACTTAAAGCGGTATGTAAGTCTCATAAATAAATAAATAAATAAAATATAAAGAAAGGCTGCTGGAATTGGGTCTGTCTAGTTTAACGAAGAGAAGGACGAGGGGTGACATGATATTGGCAGTCTTCCAATCTCTCAGGGGCTGTCCCAAAGAAGAGGCAGTCAAGCTATTCCCCAAAGGACCTGAAGGCGGGACAAGAAGCAACGGACGGAAACTCATCAAGGAGAGAAGAAACCTAGAGAACTAAGGGAGAAAAATTAACCAGTGGAACAGCTTGCCACCAGAGGTTGTGGGTGCTCCAACACTGGAAGTTTTTAAGAAGAGCCATTTGTCTGAAATTTTATAGGGTCTCCTGCCTGAGCAGGGGGTTGGACTAGAACAGTGGTTTTTAACCGGGGCGATTTCGTTTTTCAGGGGGGCAAAGGAACGAAAAGGGGGCGATATGGGGGCAATGGAGCGAGAAGTTTTGGGGACACTTTTGAGACTTTTTCGTACAGTGAATGGCTGTATATCTGTCGTACAAAAGCATCAGATCGCTGGCTATTAGTGGATTGAATTGTGTTTTCAAATGGTCCTCCAGCTCGCTTCAGTACATATGTGAATACGCATCGCTTATCTTCATGCACGTTGCACAGCAGCCTCTACCCATACAGTGGCGCGCCATTAGCCAGAATATGGGAGAGATGGGGAAAAAGACTGGAAATAAATTATTTGCATCGATACGTCCTGAGGACAATTTTAAAGAAAACCCCAAAAAAGTGTTTGCATAAATTGAAGAATTATTTCCTATGTTGTGATTGAGGGATTAGGTTGGGGGAGGGGAGGGCGATGACAACGTCCTCATTGGCTCAAGGGGGCGATTCGTTCAAAAAGGTTAAGAACCGCTGGACTAGATGACCTCCAAGGTCCCTTCCAACTCTGCTATTCTTATTGAATAACCCAACTTATTTGTCAGCACCGGCATGACACTTGCTAGCAGGATACACCCTCGTCTTGTACCCGAGTGGCGAATAGGGCAGCCTTCAAAATCATTGTTCCTGAAACACTGACACGGAACATCCTGCTGATAACATGGAAAGCTCACTTCTGCACACGTTAGGCGGGTTCCTGACAGACAGCTGCCAAACCGCATTTTTCTTCATCCAGCTCCACACAAGTGCCAGCCGCTTCTTCGCTCCGGCTTCTGGGGAAAAAAAAGGTTTTTCCTTCCTTCCATTGAATAAGTCTTCCCAAAATGAATCACTGCACATTAGAAGCAGCTGGAGTGTTTTCTGAGTGATAATGAAACCTGTAACAAGCCATCTTCAGACGTCTTGGCCAAACAATGAGGGAATTAAAATTTCAATTTAAATGCAGAGGTTGGAAACACGCTTCAGTGGCAAAATTAACTTCAATTAATGTGAGTGGAATGCCAAGGACGGACCGCCGAAATGCGCCGGCAAAGGTCTAATTTCAACAGCACCTATCGCAAAGCTACAGACAACAATATTTATCAGTTCTCCCATTTCTCCGGAAACAGATCGCTGCCTTCCTGGAATCCTTTGGGGGGGGGGGCTTTCGATAAGCCAACGGTTGTTTGCCTTGAGGACAAAGGACAGGGAGATCACCAAAAAAAAAAAAAAAACGCATTGTGCAGCCCTGACAGTTTAATAATTATTTTAGACAGATGAGACAAATGAAAAACAATAGAGTCAGCCAGAAGCAGGGACCCTAGTAATGGCTTCATTCTGCTATGAAGCCAGAAAGAGGCTTAAGAAGGTTGAACTTAAAGAGCTGCCTTCTAGATCGTCTATAACGGGAAGGGTTTTAAAAAGAGAGGAGATGGCAGACTCCAAAGGGATTTTCCTGCACGGAAAGGACTCGGAATAAATCTTTTGGGAGGTTTTAATAAAGGGGAATCTTTGTAGCGCGGGGTTGAAAATGACGTGTCTTGGATGCTTTCTGAGCTGGGTGGTTTTCTTGCAGACGTTTCATGACCCAACTAGGGAGTATCATCAGTGCTAGAAGGGAGTGGGGTTGGTGGAGAGGAGGAGGAGGAGGAGGAGGAGGAGGAGGAGGAGGAGGAGGAGGAGGAGGAGGAGGAGGAGGAGGAGGAGGAAGAGGAAGATGATGACGACAGTGGGGTCCTTGGTGCTCTCTGAACTTGGTGGTTTTCTTGCAGACGTTTCATGACCCAACTAGGGGGCATCATCAGTGCTAGAAGGGAGTGGGGTTTGTGAAGAGGAGGAGGAGGAGGAGGAGGAGGAGGAGGGGGAGGAGGAGGAGGAGGAATATGGGCTTGGTGCTCTCTGAGCTTGGTTCTTTTCTTGCGGACGTAAGAAAAGGTAACTAGGTAACATCATCAGTGCTAGAAGGAAGTGGGGCTTGTTGGTGGGAGGAGGAAGAGGAGGAGGGGGAAGAATGTGGGGTTGGTGCTGTCTGAGCTTGGTTCTTGCAGACATTTCTTGACCCAACTAGGTAACATCATCAGTGCTAGAAGGACCCCACAGTCCTTCCCCTTCTCCTTCTGCTCCTCTCCACAAACCTTACTCCCTTCTAACACTGATGATGCTACCTAGCTGGGTCATGAAACATCTGCAAGGAAACCACCAAACTCAGAGAGCACCAAGGAACCCACAGTTCTTCTACAGTCGTCGTTTTCCTCCTCCTCCTCTTCCTCCTCCTCCTCCTCCCTCACTCCCTTCTAGCACTGATGATGTTCCCTAGTTGGGTCATGAAATGTCTGCAAGCAAAACCACCAAGCTCAGAGAGCATCAAGGACCCCACAGTCTTTTTCCTCGTCCTCCACATCTTCCCCCTCCTCCTCCCCCCCTTCCTATTCCGCCTCCTCCTCCTCTCCACAAGCCCCACTCCCTTCTAATACTGATGATGTTACCTAGTTGGGTCATGAAATGTCTGCACAAAAACCACCAAGCTCAGAGAGCATCCAGGATCTCACAGTTCTCCTCCTCCTCCTCCTCCTCCTCCTCCTCCTCCTCCTCTTCCTCCTCCTCCTGTCCACAAACCCCCCTCCCTTCCAACATGTATGTATGAGAGAACTTTGAGACCCAGGCAGAAAGCTACAGGAGAGCAGTACTAAGACGAGGCAGATGTATCCATCCATTGCCCCAAAACGAAAATGAAGAAAGAAATAACACCCTGTGCAGAAAAGGCTATGAAAAGGGAAGCTTCCCAAGCTGTTAAAGAAAAAAGAAAAAAAGACGCTAAGAAGGCAGACGAGACAGCCGAAGGGTTCCTGGGTGGGGTGGGGGTGGGGGGGTAAAGAAATGAAGTGTTGGGAGAGAAAAGGAACAGACACCAAACATGGAAACAAGACAGGAGGGGACAGGAATGGGAGGTTAACGACAGGAGGTCAAAGTCATCGGCGCTTTCAAAGCCTCCAAAGAGGTTAATAGAGTGGAGGGTTTTTTGGTTTTTTTGTTTTTTAAAAAAAGGGAGTGAGTGACAGAAGAGCGCCAAAGAGACAGGCAGAGAGGACAATGCAGTTGGCCAGCCGACGGCAGAAGGTAATTACTCTCCAGTCCTGATAGCGGATCTCGTGGACGGGGAATGTGACAGCTGTCTCTCAAGGGTGGGCGGGCGCCTCTTACCAGCATGTCCGTGGCCATCAGGTAGTGCTTGCTGCCCATGTATTGCTGCAGCTTCTGCGGCACCTGCTTGATGTTCTCGATCTCGTCCAGCAGGTTCAAGACGTGCTTGTGCTCGATCCCCTCGATCCACAGCTTGCGCAGCTCGTCCCGCTTGCAGTGCAGCAGCATTTTGCAGGAGAGCAGGTTCTCCTTGACCTGCGGGGTGGGGGGAGGGGGGGAGAACACAAAGTGGTTGAGGGGCTGCCACAAAGAAGGGAGGGGGGCTCCATTTATTCTCCAAAGCGCCTGAAGGCAGGACAAGAAGCAGCGGATGGAAACTAACCAAGGAGAGAAGCGACCTGGAAGTAAGGAGAAATTAACGATTAACCAGGGGAACAACCTGCCTCCAGAAGTTGTGGATGCTCCATCACTGGAGGTTTTTAATAAGAGATTGGACAGCCATTTGTCTGAAATGCTAGAGGGTTTCCTGCCATAGCAGGGGGTTGGAGTAGTTGACCTCCAAGGTCCCTTCCAACTCTATTATTATGGATCATCGCACAGTCAGCCAGATGTTCAGACTGGATTTGGCATTTTGTCTACCTATCGAGTCCTTACCCAGGACCTGGGATAGGCAGATGTGGATGTTTGATGGTATTACAGATATCGTCGCAGGATGGATGCAGTTCCTAGTAAGGCCGCCTTTTGCAATTGACTAATAGCGAATTTGTCAATGCCGATGATGGTGTTCAAGTGGTGCTCCAGTTGTTTTGGGATTGCACCCAAGTAGCCTATTACTATTGGTACTACCCTTGCTTGCTTTTGCCACAGTCTTTGTATTTCTATTTGTAGGTCTCTGTATTTTGTGATCTTCTCCAGTTCTTTCTTGTCTATTCTGCTGTCTCCAGGCACTGCCACGTCCACCATCCAGAATTATTATTATTATTATTGATCATTGCACAGTCAGCCAGATGTTCAGACCAAATTTGGCATTTTGTCTACCTATCGAGTCCTTACCCAGGACCTGGGATAGGCAGATGTGGATGTTTGATGGTATTACAGGTATCGTCGCAGGATGGAAGCAGTTCCTAATAAGGTCGCCTTTTGCAATTGACTAATAGCGAATTTGTTTATTATTATTATTATTATTATTATTATTATTATTATTATTATTATATTACCTCCAAGGTAATATAAAGGAGTCCTACGACCAAATTTCCAATGATAAGCAAGACAATGGTTAAGTGAGCGTGGCCCCATTTTACGAATAGAGCTGGAAGGGACCTTGGAGGTCTTCTAGTCCAACCCCTTGCTCAAGCAGGAGACCCCCCCTATACAATTTCAGACAGATGGCTGTCCAGTCTCTCCTTGAAAACCTCCAGTGTGGAAGCATCCACAACTTCTGTCTGTCTGTCTGTCTGTCTATCTATCTATTTTCAATCAATTTAATCAGAATGGAGCTGGAAGGGACCTTGGAGGTCTTCCAGTCCAACCCTATGCTCAGGCAGGAAATCCTTTTCCCATTCCAGACAAGTGGCTGTCCGGTCTCTTCATTAAAAAAAAAAACCCAGTGTGGGAGCATCCCTAACTTTGGGAGGCGAATCGTTCCCCTGTTAGGAAATTTCTCCTTGGTTCTAGGACTTTGCTTCTCTCCTTGATTAGTTTAGGATCTCCAATGATAAAGGGGGAAACACTGAACCATCAGCCAGCAGAGTCAGTTGAACGATAGCGCTGCTGAAGGAAAGGAGCATGAATCCTAAAAAAAAAAAAAAAAAAATCAATTTCATAGCAATGAGCTCGTGAGTCCAAACCAGAAAGGATGAGACTAAAAACCAAGAAGTGGGACCCAGCTATAAGTAACTCCAAATCTATTCCGTGCCTGGAAACACCTCTAATGTAGTTTAAAAACAACACAATGCACAAGGTAGTAATGGCTTTTCTCGCTGTTGTTTTGGTCTCGGAATACAAATTGCCTGTTTTCCTCTACTCTCCCTTTTTAAAACAGCAGAACCGCAGACAGGGAACACACCTCCCCGGTGAGGTTGTTATCCCCGGCGAAACATAAAAAGCTTGAAATGCAAATCCAGAGATGTTTAATATTCAAAAAGGTGGTTGTTGGGGGTTTTTTTTCACAAAAGAAGAAGAAGAAGAAGAAGAAGAAGAAGAAGAAGAGGAGGAGGAGGAGGAGGAGGAGGGGAGGGGGGAGAAGGAGGAGGAGGAGGAGGAGGAAGAAGAAGAAGAAGGAGAAGGGGAGGAGGATAGAAGGGAGGAGGAGGAGGAGGAGGAGGAGGAGGAAGAGAAGAAGGAGAAAAAACAACCGATAGAAGAAGAAGGAGGAGGAGGAGGAGGAGGAGGAGGAGAAGAGAAGAGAGAAGAAGAAGAGAAGAAGAAGAAGAAGAAAGAAGAGGAGGAGGAGGAGGAGGAGGAGGAAGGAGGAGGAGGAGGAGGAGGAAGAGGAAGAAGAAGAAGAAGGAGGAGGAGGAGGAGGAGGAGAAGGCGAAAAAACAACCGATAGAAGAAGGAGAAGGAGGAGGAGGAGGAGGAGGAGGAGGAGGAGGAGGAGAAGAAGAAGAAGAAGAAGAAGAAGAAGAAGAAGAAGAAGAAGAAGAAGAAGAAGAAGAAGAAGAAGAAGAAGAAGAAGAAGAAGAAGAAGAAGAAACAACCGATCTTGTACAGTTCCGTGTTGCTGCTGTGAATGCTGGCAAAACACTGAAAGATAGGGAAAAACAAAACTCCAGAGGCTTCCCTTACCTGTGACAAGATCCAAAAATTATTACACAGTATTACAGTCGTTCCAGAGCCCAGAAAAATAATGCTGCCCCACAAGACCTACGGAACAGCTTTTGAGATGGTGGGAAATTTAGGAGGCGCTTCGTTATATATTTATTACATTGAGTCGCTACGGGCAATAGTGAGATAGGTGGTGTATCAATTTAATTAATATTAATTAATGCTATTTGGGGGGGGGACAGTATGTCTAGTTTAATGAAGAGAAGGACGAGGGAGGACATGATAGCAGCCTTCCAATCTCTCAGGGGCTGCCCCAAAGAAGAGGGAGTCAAGCTATTCTCCAAAGCACCAGAAGGCAGGACAAGAAGCAACGGGTGGAAACTCATCAAGGAGAGAAGCAACCTAGAACTGAGGAGAAACTTCCTGACAGTGAGAACAATTAATCAGTGGAACAATCTGCCTCCCGAAGCGGTGAATGCTCCAACACTGGAAGTTTTTAAGAAGGGACTAGATAGCCATTTGTCTGAAATGGTATAGGGTTTCCTGTCTGAGCAGGGGGTTGGACTAGATGACCCCCAAGGTCTCTTCCAGCTCTGTTATTCTGTTGTTCTATTAGGGAGAGAAGCAGCCTAAAACTAAGGAGAAACTTCCTGACAGTTAGAACAATTAACCAGTGGAACAACCTGCCTCCAGAAGTAGTGGATTCTCCAACACTGGAAGTTTTTAAGAATAGACTGGACAGCCCTTTGTCTGAAATGGTATAGGGTTTCCTGCCTGAGCAGGGGGTTGGACTAGATGACCTCCAAGGTCCCTTCCCACTTTATTATTGTTGTTGTTGTTGTTATTATTATTATTGGGGCAAAAACATCCTTTCTAAAACAGTTGCTTGGATAAGCAGGAAGCTGCTGTCCCATCATTAAGACAAGACAAATCTACGAAACGGGACGCAGCTATCCAAATATCCAGGGATTACCGGCATCGAAAAAAAAAGGAAAATGTGTTGGAAGAAAACGAGATTATGCTCCTATTTTTGCATCGTAGCCAGTACACAGCCGCACAAACGCGGTGCCAATTTCACAGTTACAAATAACATCTTGGGGAAATCATATAGCCGCGGCATCAGCCTTTCAGTTAAGTCCCAGATCAAATAGACTTTGCGAGCAAAACCCAATTTTCTGGGTCATTTTTTTTTTCCTGTGCTATAATTCGGTGTTTTTTCAACTTTGGCAACTTTCAGGCATGTGGACTTCAACTCCCAGAATTCCCCAGCCAATTTACACACAGTCCTCAACCGCTCAAACTTACAACGGCACTGGGAAAATAAAAGTGACTTAATGACCATTTTTCACAGTTAATGACCTCTGGTCCCGTGATCAAAATTCACGCGATTCATATTAATGACATGTCTCAGGGATCACGCGATTCCTCTTTGGCGACCTTCTGAACAAGCAAAGTCCATGGGGAAGCCGGATTTACTAACCGTGTTACTAACATCACAATGGCAGGAATTCATTTAACAACGGTGGCGAGCAATGTCGTAAAATGGGGCCAAACTCACTGAACAGCTAACTCGCTTCGCAGCAGAAACTTTGGGCTCAGCTGTGGCCATAAGTCACGGATTTCCTGCATTAAGGAATCTCAGTCTACGGAAGAATGAAGGCAGTTTTGCAGTTCGACCCGTCGAGGCGTATTTCTTAAAAAGTCACGGCATTGATAAATGCCCTTTTGACCAAATTCAACCCCTGCTTTACCCAGAAATCCAAATTAAACCTAGTGAGAGATTCATGTGAATATATTCAGCCAAAAGGGGGGGGGGGAGGAATTCCAGTTTGTCTAGTGCAGGGATAGGCAACCTTGGCTCTTTTATGACTCGTGGACTTCAACTCCCAGAATTCCTGTGCCAGCCACGCTGAGGGGAAAGGGAGAAGTTTCCAAGCTGAGCCATGCTGGCTCAGGAATTCTGGGAGTTGAAGTCCACGAGTCATGAAAGAGCCAAGATAGCCTACCCCTGGTCTAGGAGGCTCACCGCTTAGGGCAGGAGGACTTAGGCCAGGGGTAGGCAAAACCTCGGCTCTTTTGTGACTGGTGGACTTCAACTCCCAGAATTCCTGAGCCAGCCTGGCTCAGCTTGGAAGCCTCTCCCTTTCCCCTCAACATGGCTGGCTCAGGAATACTGGGAGTTGAAGTCCACGAGTCATAAAAGAGCCAGGGTTGCCTACCCCTGATCTAGGAGGCTCACCACTTCGAACAGGAGGACTTAAGACAGAGGTAGGCAACCTTGGCTCTTTTATGACTCGTGGACCAACTCCCAGAATTCCTGAGCCAGCCATGGTGAGGGGAAAGGGAGAGATTTCCAAGCTGAGCCATGCTGGCTGAGGAATTCTGGGAGTTGAAGTCCACCAGTCATAAAAGAGCCAAGGTTGCCTGCCCTAGGCCTAGGCTGCTTTATGACTTGTGGACTTCAACTCCCAGAATTCCTGAGCCAGCATGGGGGAACTAGGGCCTCCTCATGACTCGTGGACATCAACTCCCAGAATTCCTGAGCCAGCATGGCTCAGCATGGAAACCTCTCCCTTTCCCCTCAGCATGGCTGGCTCATGAATTCTGGGAGTTGAAGTCCACCAGTCACAAAAGAGCCAAGGTTGCCTATCCCTGGCCTAGGGCAACTGGTCCCACTGAAAGGCTGCCCAGATTGTTAGAAAGTTTTTTTTTCCAGCTGCCATCTGGGAACTTGTCTCTTATAACTTGAGTTCTAATTAGATATTAGGGCTAATAAATCAGTAGCAGAAACGATTAGCCTCAGCTAAAAAGGCAGAGGAAAGCCACGCCCTGTGTTAATCACGAAGCAGGCCAATCTTTTGTCCATCTGCTTACAGGCGGTTTTTCCCTTTTTTTCGTTGCCCGGTTCTAGAATTTAGGAAGTAGGGATGGATTATACTATGGACAGAGCCCGGCTTTCAATCTTGACAGGTTCAGTCTCTGTCACTCAAGCACACTCACCCCTATATCGTGTATTAGCCTCTCTCTCAAGCCTGATGGGAGGATTAATAATGCAAGAAAAGACTGATAACCCTCACTGACCTTTGGTGGCTCAAGCAAAGGATAATTCTGGGGAAAAAAAAAAAGAACTCAGAGGCTGAAAAAAACAGCAAGCACCAGGGCCCATTTCTAGCCCACCCCTCCCCTTTCCAGCATTTGCCTCAAGGACACAGGCCAAGAACTCTTTAATGTAACACACCGCAATAGAAAAAAAAAACTTCAGAGTTTCTAAAGGGTGAAAGAGAGGATGCAGACATGGACGGTTGGTCGTTTAACAGACCCATGTTTGAGGGAAAGGCAGAAGAAAAGAGGAAAAGAAAAAAGAGGAAGGGAAGTTGGGAGAGGGGAGGGGAAGCGGGGAGGAATGGAGAAAGAATGGGGGAAAGAGAGGAGAGGGGAAGGTAGGGTAGGGTAGGGTAGGGTAGGAGAGGAGAGGAGAGGAGAGGAGAGGAGGAAGGAGAATGTGGGAAGAGAGGAGAGGACAGAGGAAAGGAGGGATGAGAAGAGAAGACAAAGGGAGGAGGAAAGGAGAAGAGAGGAGAAGAGAAGACAAAGGGAGGGGAGAGGAGAGGAGAAGAGGGAGAGGAGAGGAGAGGAGAGGAAGAGAAGAGAAGAGAAGAGGAAGGGAGGGGAGAGGAGAACAGGAGAGGAAGAGAAGACAAAGGGAGGGAGAGAGGAGAGGAGGGAGAGGAGAGGAGAGGAAGAGAAGAGAAGAGAAGAAAAGAGAAAGGGAGGGAGAGAGGAGAGGAGAGGAGAAGGTGAGGGGGAGAAGAGAGAGAAGAGAAGAGGAGAGGAGAGGAGAAGGGGAGAGGAGAGGAGAAGAGGAGAGGAGAGGAGAAGAGGAGAGGAGAGGAAGAGAAGACAAAGGGAGGGAGAAAGGAGAGGAGAGGAGAGGAGAAGAGAAGAGAAGAGGAGAGGAGAGGAGAGGAGAGGAGAGGAGAAGAGAAGAGAGGAGAAGAGAAGGTGAGGGGGAGAAGAGAAGACAAGTGAAGAGGAGAGGAGAGGAGAGGAGCAATACAAAGCCGTGAGTCACTTCCCAAAAGGTTAAGGAAAATCTCTCCACTACATGATGACTGAATCTAATCAGCAACAGTAAATGCCCCAAAGTCCTTCATCCGGCGGTGGAGATTTCAAGGCAGCCCCTCAAGGTCCTTCTGCCTCTCTCTGCCTCTGCTTCTGACCTGTAGCAGGGCTTAATTGTGTTTGAGTTAGCCTGGACCGTGCTTTATTTCAAACCTTGTCTAATTGATCTCTGTCTCCGCACACAGAGCTGCACCTTGTCCATCAATCCTTGAAATGGACCGCTCTCCTCGGAAGGGACCAGACTGCCCTCACTCCCCTCTTAGAGATACTAAATGGATCTGAAGAGTTCACAAGGGGGAGGAGGAAGAGTCCCAAGAGAAATGTGGGCACTTCTCTGCAGAAACGCCAGCAGCTTCCCTTTCCTCCCACACCCCAACACATTCAGCCCTCTCTGGGTCTAGCAGCCATCCCTCTGCGTCCCTCCTCCAGGGTCGGAAGTTGATTCAGATTCAGTTCACACATTGTGTGTTTTGCACAGATGTGCATCCATTACGGTTGCAAGTCGAGGACTGCCTGCATTTCGAGGGAAATCCAAGGGTAAATAAAGTGTGTTATTCTGACTGCGCGCAGAGTGCATTCTTTATTCTCGCTGCGGTAACTGAAGCCGGAAGGCACATATCTGATCGGTGAGCACAGATTCCAGGTAAGCTACAGCCTCAATTAGCTTTTCAGAAATTAATTTGCCCACCAGCCCAGGGAAAGACATTACCATATCTGTCTTATGCATGCCTACAACCAAACACACACAACATGGGTTTCACCCCAGGTGTAGTGTTTGGCACCTATCACTGAACTTGGAGAAAAGAAGGAAGAGCTCCATTCGTATGGCGTTAATTCAACGTTTTCCTAGACCAGGGGTGGGCAGCCTTGGCTCTTTTATGACTGATGGACTTCAACTCCCAGAATTCCTGAGCCAGACACGCTGAGGGGAAAGGGAGAGGTTTCCAAGCTGAGCCATGCTGGCTCAGGAATTCTGGGAGTTGAAGTCTACCAGTCATAAAAGAGCCAAGGTTGCCTACCCCTGGTCTAGGAGGCTCACCACTTAGAACAGGAGGACTTAGGACAGGGGTAGCAACCTTGGCTCTTTTATGACTCATGGAAGAGCCAAGGTTGCCTACCCCTGACCTAACTCCTCCTGTCCTAAGTAGTGAGCCTCCTAGACCAGGGGTAGGCAACCTTGGCTCTTTTATGATTCGTGGACTTCAACTCCCAGAATTCCTGAGCCAGCATGGGGGAACTATGGTCTCTTCAAGACTGGTGGACTTCAACTCCCAGAATTCCTGAGCCAGCCTGGCTCAGCTTGGAAACCTCTCCCTTTCCCCTCATCATGGCCGGCTCAGAAATTCTGGGAGTTGAAGTCCACCAGTCATAAAAGAGCCAAGGTTGCCTACCCCTGGCCTAGCCTGCATCGTAGGCGGTGCTGGTCTTGAATGTAAAGCCAATCTTGCCCCGGGGAAAAAAATCTCCCGCCTTGAATTTCACCTGCTTAATTTTGTTGCGAGAAGTGGTGATACGTTCCGTGATGCTCTGGTAGGTGGAGATGGCAGTCATAAGTTCGTTGTAGTGCTGAACAATCAACTCGTCCAGATTACGGTCACATTTCTCGTACGCCTCCTCCAGACGAGCCTTCTCGTGTTCTCTGTCCTCCACATTGTCACTGGTGGACAATGTCCTGAAAAAGAAGAGAGAAAGAGCCTTTTATTTCTATTTATTGGATTTATTAAATTGTTATGCCACCCATCTTTACGCCATAAAAAGGACGTGATAGCAGTGATTCCAGGGAGAGGGGAGTCCACTTATTTTCCAAAGCACCAGAAGGCAGGACAAGAAACAGTGAATGAAACTCATTGAGCAGAGAAGCAACGTGGAATTAAGGAGAAACTTCCTAACAGTCAGGACAATTAATCAGTGGAATTAATCAGCTTCCCTCCAGAAGTTGTGAGTGGTCCAACACTGGAGGTTTTTAAGAAGAGACTGGACAACCACTTGTCTGAAATGGTATAGGGTTTCCTGCCTTAGCAGGGGGTTGGACTAGAAGACCTCCAAGGTCCCTTCCAGCTCTATTCTGATTCTGATTCATCTCCTCTACAAGGTGATTCTGGGCAGCTTCACCCAATAGGTCTAGTGGACTTCAACTCCCAGAATTCCTCAGCCAGCATGGACCATATAAGCCAGGGGTCTTCAAACCTGGCCCTTTGATGACTTGTGGACTTCAACTCCCAGAATTCCTCAGCCAGCATGGACCATATAAGCCAGGGGTCTTCAAACTTGGCCCGTTTATGACCCGTGCACTTCAACTCCCAGAATTCCTCAGCCAGCATGTCTGGCTGAGGAATTCTGGGAGTTGAAGTCCACATGTCACAAAAGGGCCAAGTTTGAAGACCCCTGTGCTAAAGGAATGGTTGTTAAGTTCACAACTACTTGCATCTTTTCCTTCCTTCCTTCCTTCCTTCCTTCCTTCCTTCCTTCCTTCCTTCCTTCCTTCCTTCCTTCCTTCCTTCCTCTTTCTCTTTCTTTCTTTCCTTCCTTCCTTTCTTTTTTTCTTTCCCATGCACTTTCTCATCAACTTTGCCTGTCCCCAGCACGCTATGAGAAAGGATTACACCGTTTGTGAGTAATCAGAGAGAGTAGTAAGACAGCCCTGCCTATCACCTCCCCTGACTTGCCATAATAATCCATGAGTAGAAGCAAAAGTGGTTTTGTCTATTTCCTTCTCAGGTTCTGCTCTAACAGTTTTGAGCAGTCAGTCAAGCAACCTGAAGGGAAAATCACAAGGTTAAGGTAGCTTTCAAAACCTGTACAATTTGGCTTTCATTTCTAGACTGGTTAAAACCACTGATGCTCTATCTAGCTAAGACTTGGGTTCACTGGAGATGGAGTAGAAAGGGGCAACCAGCTACAGTCAAATTACAAGGGTGTTTTCTTTTCTTTTGTGTTTGTCAGTTTGTGGGTGTGGGTGTTTTTAGCGGCCACAGCAGCAACGACACTGGCACGACGGGATAAATGGGAAAGGGCCTAACAGAGTTACGACAGGCTGACCAAACAGGAAGGATATGAGCAGCAGTGTTAGTGCACTAGATAAATCAATTACTTCGTGATCTGTCCGTTTGCATCAAAACTGGGCTTTCCAAACATAAAGAATAAGGGTGACGGAAGGTCAGCGCTATTTAGTAAGACAAGCCAACCTGAAAAACTCAGCTGCACGAAACTCATCTTCCCATGTAATCATGACTTGTTTCAATCCGATAGCTTTATACGATCTACAGGGTCACGATCAATCAACAGGCCGATGAAGAACATTCAAAATGGCAATCACAATAGCCCCTTAATCTGTGTGTGAAACGTTATCTAATAAGGAGAATAGGCTGTGCCCTCAGAAGCCACAGTTGATCTAGAATGCAGCAAGTTCAGCTGGTTATGATCCATCATCATTTGTTTTTCATTCTGCCCTCATGATTGTTACAGATAACTCAAGGGAGAGAATACATTTAAGGTTCCTCCCTCCAACTATTTTCCCCACAACAACAGATTTGTGACGTGTGCTGAGGGTGTGTGAGTGGCTCAAGGTCACCAGGTCAGCTCTCGGGCCCAAGGTGGGAGTAGAATTCCTCCTCTCCCGGTGATTGGCCCGAAGTCATGCAGTTGGCTTTCATCCATAAGGCAGGATTAGAATTCACCGTCTCCTGGTGATTGGCCAAAAGTCACCCAGCCAGCTCTGATGTCTTGAATAGAAGAGAAGAGAAGAGAAGAGAATGTAGAAGAGAAGAAGAGAAGAGAAGAGAATAGAGAATAGAATAGAATGGAGAATAGAATAGAATAGAATAGAATAGAATAGAATAGAATAGAATAGAATGGAATGGAATGGAATGGAATGGAAGGGAAGGGAAGGGAAGGGAAGGGAAGAGAATGTAGAAGAGAAGAGAAGAGAAGAGAGAATAGAATAGAATGGAGAATAGAATAGAATAGAATAGAATAGAATAGAATAGAATAGAATAGAATAGAATAGAATAGAGAATGCAAATAGAATGGAATGGAATGGAATAGAATAGAATAGAATAGAATAGAATAGAATAGAATAGAATAGAATAGAATAGAATAGGAGCTGGAAGGGACTTTGGAGGTCTTCTAGTCCAGCCCCCTGCTCAAGCAGGAGGTCCTATACCATCTCAGTCAGATAATTGTCCAGTCTCTTTTTAACATTTCACTAATTTCAATATTATCCCTATCATGCTCACTTGAGATTCTCGGTGGCAAGGAAACGCCAAGTAGTATAACTCTGTTACTCCCTGCAAAACGTGCCCCTTTATGGGGGTGGAGGGAATCTACCAATCTCAAAATTTATATTTTTTTAAATAGGCCTAGGAAAAGCCTGCTCACATCCATCTAAATTAGGCAGATCCAAATATAATAACTCTTCACTTTAAGGCCAAGAAAAAAAAGTTTAATATTCTCATTTTTTGCTGACACTGCAGAAACATCCTTGAAGGGCATCTCAACACGCATTCCATTAAAACGTTTGTGAGGAAAATCAAGAAAATATTTGCAAAGGAAGGGAGAAGGGGGGAAAAAAACGTATTCTAAGGAGAAAACCCTTTTGCTCCGAAGCTATTGAAACGGATACAGCAAACAAAAGACAAGATAATCCATTAATATTTAATTGCCCGTGTGTACACAGTAATAAGCTGGAAATCACATTTTTATTATGCTCGGTGAAACTTCTCCGCAGTTAATATCTGTGGCTGGTCCAAAAACTGCACTTTATCAAGGACAAAGCACGATACGTTTTTCCAGCAGACGTGTCTGTTGTCATGGTTCCGAAAGACAAAACTCTTCAAAGAACTTTGAGGCATTGTTTACGTTAAAAAGAATCTTTAATCAAGCAGCATAGCTTCGGTACGGATATATTGTTGTTAGTTGCGAAGTTGTCTCCGACCCATCACGACCCCGTGGACAACATTCCTCCAGGCCTCCCTGTCCTCTACCATCTTCTGGAGTCCATTGAAGCTCAAGCCTGCTGCTTCAGGGACTCCATCCAGCCACCTCCTTCTCTGTCGTCCCCTTCTTCTCTTGCCCTCCATCTTTCCCAGCATCAGGCTCTTCTCCAGTGAGTCCTTCCTTCTCATTAGGTGGCCAAAGGACTTGAGTTTCCACTTCAGGATCTGGCCTTCTAAAGAGCAGTCGGGGTTGATCTCCTCCAGGACTGACCGGTTGGATTGCCTTGCAGTCCAGGGGACTTGCAGGAGTCTTCTCTAGCGCCATAGTTCAAAGGCCTCCATTCTTTGGCGCTCGGCCTTTCTTATGGTAGTACGTACACAGTGGAAGCCAGAATCTGAATTCCCCTCCCCTAAACACATAGTATCAAAGCACAATTCCCTCCTCCAATTAACTGTCATAAATCACATTCTCCAATTAGTTTGAAATGCAAACCTTCCCTCCAGTTCTATAACCCGCCATTCCTTGTTGTTGTTGTTAATTGAGAAGTCGTGTCCGACCCATTGCGACCCCATGGACAACATTCCTCCAGGTCTTCCTGTCCTCTACCATCTTCTGGAGTCCATTTAAATTCACACCTACTGCTTCAGTGACTCCATCCAGCCATCTCATTCTCTGTCGTCCCCTTCTTCTATTGCCCTCAATCTTTCCCAGCATTAGGCTCTTCTCCAGTGAGTCCTTCCTTCTCATTAGGTGGCCAAAGTACTTGAGTTTCAACTTCAGGATCTGGCCTTCTAAAGAGCAGTCGGGGTTGATCTCTTCTAGGACTGACCGGTTTGAACGCCTTGCAGTCCAAGGGACTCGCAGGAGTCTTCTCCAGCACCATAGTTCAAAGGCCTCAATTCTTTTGCGCTCAGCCTTTCTTATGGTCCAACTTTCACAGCCATACATTGCAACTGGGAAAACCATGGCCTGGACTATACGCACTTTTGTTGGCAGGGTGATGTCTCTGCTTTTTAGAATGCTGTCTAGATTTGCCATAGCTTTCCTCCCCAGGAGCAAGCGTCTTTTAATTTCTTGGCTGCAGTCCCCATCTGAGGTGATCTTTGAGCCCAGAAAAATAAAATCTGTCACTACCTCCATTTCTTCCCCATCTATTTGCCAGGAATTGAGAGGGCCGGATGCCATGATTTTGGTTTTCTTAATGTTGAGTTTCAAGCCAACTTTTGCACTCTCCTTCTTCACCCGCATCAAGAGGCTCTTTAGTTCCTCTTCACTTTCTGCCATTAGAGTGGTATCATCTGCATATCTTAGGTTGTTGATATTTCTCCCGGCAATCTTAATTCCAACTTTTGATTCATCTAGCCCTGCCTTTCTCATGATGTGCTCTGCATATAAGTTAAATAGGCAGGGCGACAGTATACAGCCTTGCCGGACTCCTTTTCCAATTTTGAACCAATCAGTGGTTCCGTGTTCGGTTCTCACTGTTGCTTCTTGACCCGCATATAGGTTTCTCAAGAGACAAATGAGATGGTCTGGTACTCCCATCTCTTTAAGAACTTGCCACAATTTGTTGTGATCCACACAATCAAAGGCTTTTGCATAGTCAATGAAGCAGAAGTAGATGTTTTTCTGGAACTCCCTAGCTTTCTCCATGATCCAGCGTATGTTGGCAATTTGATCTCTAGTTCCTCTGCCTCTTCGAAATCCTGCCTGTACTTCTGGTAGTTCTCGATCCAC